CTGAGCCGAGGGTCGAACCAGCAACCCAGCAACCTTCTGTGAGGCGACAGCACTACCTACTGCGCCACTGCCTCACCATATATTATATTATATTATATTATATTATATTATATTATATTATATTATATTATATTATATTATATTATGTTATATTATATTATATTATATTATATTATATTATATTATATTATATTATATTATATTATATTATATTATATTATTCATTCATTCATTTTCCTTTAGCTGAGTCCCTTTACTTATCAGCGGTCGCCACAGTGGAATGAACCGCCAACTATTCGGGCATATGATTTATACAGTGGATACCCTTCCAGCCGCAACCCAGTACTGGGAATCGTTCATACACACTCTCATTCATATACACACACTCATACATACCGCCAGTTTAGTTTATCACTCCCCCTATAGCGCAGAGGTTCTCAAAGTGGGGGTCGGGACCCCCCGAGGGGTCGCGGGACAATGAAGGGGGGTCGCCTGGTGATTTTCAAAAATCAATGAATTTTTATTAAACCTTAAGACTTACTCTATTTTATCAATAACCTACTAAAGTACAAAGAACAAAATAGTCGTTTATAGTTACTATAAACTATATAGTTACTATAGTAGCTTATAGTTACTAGTTCTATTGGATTGCGACTTCTCTGGTAATTACATTATACTAAAGACACAGCAATACTGTCAGATGCAGCAGATTTTATAACACCAGGTTAAACTTTCTAGCCCATTTACAGCACTGACATACATAAAAAAACAACAACAAAGAATAGACTTGGGTCTATTGGTGTGTGTGTGCGTCATTGCATACAAGGTTTCTGTATTTATAACCACCACCTCAGAGAATATTGGGGGTCACGAGTCACTGGCATTGACATTTTGGGGGTCGCGGGCTGAAAAGTTTGGGAACCCCTGCTATAGCGCATTTGTTTGGACTGTGGGGGAAACCGGAGCACCCGGAGGAAACCCACGCCAACACGGGGAGAACATGCAAACTCCACACAGAAACACCAACTGACACAGCTAAGACTCGAACCAGTGATCTTCTTGCTGTGATGAGATTATGCTACCCACTGCGCCACCGTGACGCCCCGATTCTGATCATATCATTAATAAAAAACTACAAATGTATTCTGGTGTACAGTATGTTCACTTTTAGGAAGGTTTTTATAGCTTGAGCTGTCAGTGTTGTTAGCAGAGATGGAGTTGAGGTGTGTGTGTGTGTGTGTGTGTGTGTGTGTGTGTGTGTGTGTGTTCAGCCTTATAGGAACTGCTATTGTGATTGTTGACAATGAGTTGAATAGATCAGATATGTTTTTAAAGAAATCTAGCGAGGCATCAGGAAAACCTTTTTTCCCTCTTCCTTCCTGACGACATTCCTCCTCCTCATGTGTGTGTGTGTGTGTGTTTCTGCAGGGTTTTTTCCGCAGGACGATTCGCCTGAAGCTGGTGTACGATCACTGCGACCTGCACTGCCGCATACACAAGAAGAGCCGCAACAAGTGCCAATACTGCCGCTTCCAGAAGTGCCTGATGGTGGGCATGTCACACAACGGTGAGCTGTGTGTGTGTGTGTGTGTGTGTGTGTGTGTGTGTGCGTGTGTGTGTGTGTGTGTGTGTGTGTGTGTGCATGACAGAACCCTGATGTATTCCTGATATCAAGGATGCATTGATGCAGACTTGAGCGCAAAACTCACTCTAGAAGTCACAGAAGTCATCGCGGCTAAATAAAGCAGGTGGGAAGCGCAGGAGTTTCTCTAAATGAGAAGCTGAACGTAAACATTCAAATTAAAATCTTGTTTATTTGCTGAAATTCATTTTAAAGGTGCTGTGTGTGAGTTTTTGACTCTTCTAAAGTATAAACACACCATCATCTGTGTGCAGATATTCAGATCATGCTCAGGGAACATTCTTGTTTATCTGAAACACAATGCTGAAGTCAGATATTCTGCTGTGAACATGTGCATTACATATCTTTGTTTTGGTCTCTGTAACCCGCCCAATGCCAGTTTAGCCATTTATATTTCAGCAGCCTGGGTTGCCAGATGGTGGAAAACAACGCATTTCATTCATTCAGTCAGGAAGACTTACAAAGCATGTGTCTGTGACTGAAATGCGCCCTCCGGTGGACAGTAGCAGACTCCGAAATGAGACGCAGATTCAGAGTTCCACATGAGGTGTTTATTAATTAGCAAATAATATAAATATATTACAAATGTAAACATTAGTTGAGCAGGTTAAAAGTCCTAACAAAAGACAACGTGATGAGATTGGGCTGTTTCCACTAAACGAAACATGACATTAATTTAACCATTCAGAGGCACAGAATAGTTTCTATTACTCCTTTCTTTTTACTTATTGTTCTCTTTACTTTGTATATTTCAGTCTTCTACAGATTACTTCCTGATTAATATTGTAAATTTCTTCTTTTCTAAATAAAAGTTTGTTTGAAGAAAAAATAATAATAATCAGATGCTGCACCGGCTGAATCAGTCGTCTGCTCTCGGAGCGCTGTCAATCCGCATAACATTTCTATCCAGCATGCACAGCTTTAAGTCGAGCGCATCTATTGTCTTCTGTCTGTCACGTGATGAACGAACATCTCAAACCCAATCGAGGACTTGAAAAAGGAAGTAATCTTCTGCTCCTCCTGCACAAATGTGCGCATGCGTAAATGAACCAATCACTCGCTGAGTGCCCTCACCGTTCACGAGTCATGCAGAAGATTCATTTCAAATGAAAGAATCGTTCAAGAATGGCCCATCACTACACACCACCGGTTTCCTGCGAGGGTTTGGCGTACGGCCATATAATGAGTGCTTCCTACTGCGTAAGATGCATTACACCTATTGAGTGTCCCCTTAAACCATGTATACAAGTGTGTGTGTGTGTGTAGCTGTGTATGTGTATGCGTATGTATGTGTGTGTGTGCATGCATAAGTGTATCTATGTGTGTGTGTGTGTGTGTGTGTGTGTGTGTGTGTGTGTGTGTGTGTGTGTGTGTGTGTGTGTGTGAAGCTGCAGGCTCTGCTACAGCCTCAGATGACTGCTCTTCATCTCCTGTGTTGTTGTTTCCTCTGTGTGGTCGGTGCTGCAGCAGCTGTGGCAGAGCTTTCTGAACATGCACAGATCTTGGGTGTGTGCGTTTGTGAGTGTGTACGTGTTTGTGTATGTGTGGTGGGTATGTTTGTGCGTGAGAATTTGTGCATGCGTGTGTGTTTTTATTATTATTATTATTATTATTATCTGTCAGTCTTAATGTGTGTGTGTGTGTGTGTGTGTGTGTGTGTGTGTGTGTGTGTGTGTGCGTGTGCGTGTGCGTGTGTGTGTGTGTGTGTGTAGCTCTGTAACCGCAGTAGTGCTGGTTAAACACCTCAGCGTGGAACACCACATGTCATTACCATCATCTCATCTCACAAACCTGCTATAACTGTGTGTATTACACTAACACTAGCCTAGCTCCAGCTCTCTCTCTCTCTAGCCCTCTTTCTTTTTCTTTCTTTTTCTTTATCTTTCTTTTTCTTTCTGTCTTTCTTTTTTC